TTTCCTACTTCCATGAAATTCCTTGACTATCAAACATAGCCTAATTATGAAGTGCTTAAAACGTTTTTAACAAGAACAAGTCACACGGTGGATTAACAAGAACAATTCACACAGTGGAATTTTACTTCCGACTTCAATGAATTATATACTCTATATATATCCCACGACAGCTTATTTCTTCAAACTATCTCATCTGCCTTTTTTCTACATTATAAAGCTATGGCTTCCGAATGCAACAAGTCTTTCTGTAGTGATTATATGCTGCTAAAGCCAGAGGAAGCTGGCTTGGTTGATGTCTTTCGCATCTTATTTTCCGATGACATCGGGAAGAGAAAATTTATCGACTGCCCATAGGGGAAACGGCCGGAGCCATTCAAGCGTAGATGGCTGATCTTTGTTTCTATCTTGGTGCAGAAGCTTTTGCTAGCAGTAGAGAAACCCATGGCATGGTTTGGTTCTTCTGTCGAGCAATGGTTAAATCTTTTGTCGAGCAATGGCAGTTTATCGAGTCTCGCGCTCAACTTCTTACGTGGTAATTATATTTTCTTTCGAGCGTGTTTGGTTTAGTATACTAAACAATATACTGAACATATGAGGCTGCTAACATGGCAATAGAACCTTATTTATGGTTCTCTGCAACCTTACTTATGGACTTGTGAACCTACCAAAGAATCATACTTACGGTCCTCTCTGTCACATCAACAGTAAAATTTTTTTTATCGTACCGAGGAGATCAATTCTAGTATCTTTCTTAATTGTTGTCAATACTGTCTAGTACACTATATGAACATGTGTGTCTGTATGTTTTATCTTATGCAACACTATTTTGTGATGAGTTATGCTACATGTACAAAGTTGGTTGACAAAATAATATCTACACCAATCATTTTAAAAACTTATTTTTAAATCATTTGAAATCAACGTTCTGGATTTCATCCACACACTTTGTAACCCAACTTTTGTAACTCAACTTTGTACAAATAGCTTTATTGTTTTGTGATGCACCCCCACCTGCCTTGATGCTGCTTATTTTCGAACTCTGCATTTCCTTATTACCGAGAATAAGAAGGTACGGTGCCACTGCATGCATGACAAGTCGTGTATAATGATCTGGATGGTGAGTGTCTGTGTGGGATTGAGGGGCATATGGGTTTCTACTTTTCTTTTCCTTTTTTTTTTTTTGTGAGTCGGTGGAGATGAATACTATGGAGATGAAGACATGAACGCTTGTAGGTGAATCAATAGTCAAAAATTTTGTTAGGTGGGTAGTGGACCAAACTTAGGCTAGACAATTAATAGTTTCAAAGAAAATAAGATTTTCTTTGCAATTACAGATGAGTAATCTAACATTGGTTTTACAAGGAGATTTTTAGGCTTCTACTTGGTTTTCAAGGAGACATATCAAGTAGAGAGAGAAGAGATTTTTCAATTTCGTTTTGGTAGCCTAGAATAGATTTTTAAGTAAGAATTCTACGAACATGCATATAAGATTTTTAATACAGATCAGATAGCAATTATTGCCTTGTACTAGAGCCAAAATTGACTTATAATCCAAAGGAGAATTGAATTTTCAAGCTTTGGGCAAAAGTGATTAAGTTTTGATACTGTAGATAATTTTTGGAAATTATATATTTGTCTCTTTAGTTGATGTATAGTGTACCACAAAATAATCAAGTTTTCCACCCTGGCATAGCTTAGATAAGTTTCAATGGGGTAGTTGGACAATTTTATTGTGCTTCCTTATCTAAGAAAAATCCTAATCAATTATAACTTTAACTAAATTTATGAATAGATCTACAACTATCAATTTATGTTTTTAATTGAGGAAAACATTTGATATCAAATTTCGTCTTTACTGAATTAAAAATTGTTTATGTGGAGAACCAAAATGAATATTGTCTATCACTGAAATAGTTTAAGTCAAAGTCATAATATTTTGTGTAATGTCGTATCAAATTAAAAGTACCAATTATTTTGATTTTCAGGAAAAGTAATATATACGGAAAAAACCGCAGCGAATTTCATGTCATTTATTGGACATGTCGATAATCGTCGAGAGTTAGATGACAAGATAAAACTAGGAGATAAAAGATACTATGCTGCACTTTCTATGATGGCTGCTAAAGTTTCGTACGAGAACAAGGCTAACATTGAATTTACAGTTA